TGGCTTCACTGAGTTACACAAGCCCCTTCGCCACGACAAGGCAGTTATCCATGAAGGGGAATAAATCCCTACTGCAGTTCTTTTTATGCACACTGCCATTCTTACCCCATCCTCTGCAACATAGGATAAAATAATGTTGAAGATTTAGAAGATTGTTCCCAAGAACAATACTGATATAATATATAACCATTTAAAAATGAAAAGCATTTGACTTTGCATGATTACTCCCATATGTGTGATTCGCACAGTAAATTTATTTGAAATATGTTTCATATGTGTATATTAGGTAATGTACAGAGCAAGAAAAACTAATGGAATCTCAAATAATAACAGATGTACTGTATTATAATAAAGGCTCTTGTGACAAAAAGATCTGTTTCTGCAAATACTCCAATTTGCCTACATTGTCCTTGAAAGCAGTTTAAAAATTGCATTTAGGTCAGAATAGAACTGCTGTGTTACTAACTAGAATCAGTCTTGGCAGGTAGTATTCAGTTAAGTACTCTTAATAATGAAATGAGTTCCCTAAAATGAGTGGATAGGGGAGTAATTCCCCTCCCCACCTGAAGTCTTCTTTCCACCATCAAAAATGAATCTTGAGGATTGGGCAGTTCTATACAGGTTAGCCTGTCCAAATGGTGCTAAAGGAAAGGTTCCATTGCACAACCAGGTATCAGCTTATGTTACACTGGCTTGAATGTGTAAATTCTGTACAAGCAGGATTCTCCTAATGTAACTACTTTCCACTTGAATCTTAAGTCTACACAGCCTGCCCTAACCTCACTAGTCCCAAGGTATATATGGGGAGTTGGGGTTTTAGCAGAACAGTTCTATAAGTTCTAAACACTTCTGAAAAGGGCATTGTTTAGAACAGGCGCATAATCTATGTGTGAATTTGCAGATGACCATTCAAAGAGCTGCAGTTACAGGCAAATAACCAATTCTTATTAGAAGGGTTATCCAATCCAAATGAAGTTTAATTATCACTATCATATGATAAATATATAAAGAGTCTTGAAATTGCCCATCAATAAACTAAACCTGTACAATAGACTGAAAAGGATATGTTTACTTAGTTATAATATTTTGCAATATGCTATCATGTATTATACATGTATTTAATTTAAAGAAACTATTTCTCATACATCTATATGTAAAGTTAGTACAGGGGTACCTCGGGATACGAACTTAATCCGTTCCGTGACTCTGGGCGTATCCCGAGTTGGTTGTAACCCGACGCAAATTTCCCCATAGGGTTCAATGTAA